TTTACAGCTCTCAAGAAAAATCACAAGAAATATTTTTAATTTTTTCAGTTACTTTAAAAAGTACTTTGCGTTTGCTGTAATTTTTCTTGAAGAAAAACTCAACGTGAATTTTTGTTCCTGAGAGCTGTAAACTGATTTAAGAAATTGTATAGAAGAAAATTTCTTTTCCATTTATGGTGCGTGATTTTATATGAAATTTTCGTTTTTCTTGAGAGTTCCAAACAGCCCTTAAAGTTTGAATATTCTTTTTCATAAAATTAAAATATATGGGGAAAATTACCTGTTCTGGAAAAAGGGTATAAAGACCCAATTTTAAATATGTACACGGTGTTTTGACGTTTTTTGTGTCATTTCAAAACTTGAGATTTTCCTTACATCGTAATCGAACACAGTGGTAAATACGCCGCCAATACAAAGCTGTCATTGATAACAACGGATTTGCAACGAAAAGAGCAAATAGCAACTGTCTTTCAACTCACCGCAATCTTTCTAAAGACAAAAGACTTTCGTAAGACAATTATCAACTCTGCCAACTATCTTGATAGCTCTTTTCTGTCTTCCAGAGGTTAATTGGAAGATCTGATAACGTGGAGATCTTAGCGTGTATATTTAGCAATACTTTTTCTAAAAATTAAATGAAATAAAAAAATATATATATATTTCTTTTAATTCAAAAGCTAGAACATTAAAAGAAGAAAAAAATTAATTAAAAAAAATTAAAACATAATTTTAATAAAATTAAAGCAAATTAATAAATATCTTTCTAAATAAATAATNATTTCTTTTAATTCAAAAGCTAGAACATTAAAAGAAGAAAAAAATTAATTTAAAAAATTAAAACATAATTTTAATAAAATTAAAGCAAATTAAAAAATATCTTTCTAAATTAATAAAATCTGCAAAAAACGAATAATCATAAAAAAATAGTTAATAAAAAATAGATTAAGAAAATAAAAAATAAAATAAGTTCCTAAAAATTAAATGAAATTAAAAATTTTTCTTTTCCTTTTAAAATAATATAAGCGTAAATTTAAAAGAAACAATTTAACCAAAACAAAGAAAAAAAAATAGAATAAGTTTCTAAAAATTAAATGATATTCAACATATAAACAAATAAAATCTAAAAACTAAAAGAAAACTGAATAAAAAAGAAAAAATAATAAGAAATATGTGTTTCTAAAAATTAATGAATTAAAAGTAAATATTTTTATTTTTGAAACAATGAAATCTAAAAATAAAGGAAAACAAATGAAAAAGTTTCAAAAAATTAAAAAAACTATAAAAAATAAACTATAAAACAAAAAATAAATAAATTTACAAAACAACCAACCCCGCTGCTCGAGGACTCGACTCGGATATCCCGAATGGGGTTTTTGGCGGTTTTCTTTGAAATCGTAATTCTTCGAATATCGTCTAAAGCGGAGTTTTTTTTATCGAATAAGCAGGTTTTCCTCTAACATATTTATACGTATCTTAAGTTTTTGTGTATATTCAATATATTTTTTATTTAATTTTTGAAAGCGTGTTTTTAAATAAATTTAAAATTTTTTCTAAAGCCTAAAACTCAAGGAAGTTATACACAAATACATACATATAGCACCAAATTTAAAAAATCATTTCTTCTAAACAAAAAATACGCATATTTCGAAATTTGCATATCGTCGTTTAAAGTACAAAATCGCGTATCATCGTTCTGCAAAACCGAGTAACTGACATTTGTGCCAAAAATTAAATTTGCTCACCGATCGGTTTCACGAATTCTGACTAAATTTTATTAAACTTTTGCTTTCATTTGTGACTAACAGTAATAGTCAGTTTCACAAAAGCAATTTACAGAAAAAATAATAATTTTTTTCACTTAAATTGCCTTCGGTTTAATTGAGTTTTTTCCAAAAAAAAAAAAATTGGAGACCGTTTTTTTCAAATTGCCTTTTTCGAGTCATTCGAAAGACGGCTTGAAAAAAATCGAATAAACGAAACTCAACTATTTACATATATATTTTTTTCACTTTCTATCAGGTACGTGGAATGGTCACTGCATAATCCAAAAGATGGCACTTACGTGTGGAATGGCATTGCGGATTTGGAGAAATTCATCAAGCTAGCAGATGAGCTGGGTCTACTAGTTATTCTGCGTCCTGGACCTTATATATGTGCGGAACGTGATTTTGTAAGTACATATTAGTTTTTTAATAAAAGAACATTTTGCTAACATATCTCATACTTCCCTGTGAAAAAAGATAGTTGCCAGGAACAAATAGCCATTTATCATATCCAGTGGCGGATTCAGCGGGGGGGGGTTTTGGGTGTTAAACTACGCTGGATCCGCCACTGATCATATCGGTACACTAATGGAATGTGAAATAAGCTGGGTAACCAAATATTCATTTATGAAAACATTGAAAACTCTTCCGGTGAAGAAGTAATTTGTTTGGTTTATCCTCATCACTAACCTTCTATACACCACTGAAGAGACAGTGGTTTAATTCCTACACCTTGAAGTTCCCTTCATCAACAGATGAATACAAGTCCTTTAATGGAAATGACAGATAAATGGCATTAGGTTCGAAAACTTTTAAATATCTTCGTGAATAAAAAGCTTGGAAGAACCCGAATAATTTTCTAACTCCTTGTCAGCGTGCCGTTTTGATACAATTGTATCATTTTTGATACTTATCTTTTAAAATTTTGTGATTTGTTAGTTTTTTATTCACAAATTCCAAATTTTGATAGTAATAAAAATATGTTTGAATTCGCTTCAAAAATATTGAAGGACCAAGGAGATGTTACTGGCGAATTTAGATTTTCGCCGCGGTCCTTCTGAATGTCAAAA